CCAGAGTGTTGTTCAGCATGGGGGTGAGTAGAAAATGAAGGCTAATCATGTTTTGGGTGTACTATTCCTTTAAGGTCAAATCTATTACCAAAAAGAAACTACAACTCTGCTTTGAGAATTCCTCCTACTGGACAAGTGCACTTAATGGCAACAACTCAAGTTTTTATAACATTTGTAAATCACAAATAATATCTGCGCTAAGATTTTCACACTTTTGGAATATCAGCACAGCTGATATTTCTCTCCAGGATGGAGTAACAGCAAAACAGGAACAGACCAGATGAAGCTAGTATGAGAAACAGCAGAGAGAGCAGAACGTTAGAGATTGAACTAACAGATTCTGCAGAGTAGGAGAATAGAGATAGAATTGGTTGAAAATGATGTGGTGAAGTGAGTGAAGTATTGTTGCTGTTGGTCATGCAAAATTTTGGTTAAAAAGCTTGAATTGTATTTGGTGTGGAAGCTCCATAATAGCTGGCATTGGTGTACATTCACGTTATCTTGGCTGTCTTCGTAGTGAAACTGGTTTGTTGCATATCTATAACAGTAGAAATCAAGGGGTTGTTGAGCTGTACAGTACTTTTACTGTTTAGACATTAACTGTCCATCTTCGCATTGATGTAATCATCCAAGCACATTTTAACCTGAACTGATGTAAACAATTATGAGTTATTGTATACTTAAACTACAAGTTTCGTTCATTCTTTTGAACCAAGATACTTACAACTTCCTGCTTCTTTCCGCAGTGAGTGTCCGGGCCCTGGAAGTAACTGTGTCCCAGAGCAGCATCCAGGTGGCTCGGGGCCAGGCAGCCATCCTGCCCTGCTCCTTTACCACCAGCGCTGCTCTCACCAACCTCAACATAATCTGGATGGTTATCCCGTTGTCCAACGCCAACCAGCCGGAGCAGGTATGTATGATACACCCATCCTTTTAGAATGATTTCTACACCAGCAGCTCTAAAAAGGTCAGAAATCAATAATCCTACCTGGAATATTTTCATATAAGCATAATGATTATTTTGTTTCTCCCTCATCTTTACAGTCAAAGCAGGTATACAACACTTTATTTTTTTGTATGTATGCTCAGATACAGCGCAAAGAGAACATCAGGATTAGCACAAAGGATATAGAGACTTCACAGGCACAAACATCCCAAAACACCAAAATCTTTGAGCTACAAGTCATAAACTTGGATCATGAACTTTCAGCCTTACTCAGGGTCGTTGTGAGGATCATGACACATCCTTGGCTGTATTCAAAGCCATAATGCTGATCAAACAAACAAGGCCTTTTCTTATCTATATTTATTTAAATTCTGTTTATTTATACAGCGCCAATTCACAACACATGTCACCTCAAGGCACTTTACAGTTCACCAGATCATCCATTGATTCAAAGTTTTCTATCTAAGGAAAACCAGTTGATTGCATCGACTCACTGACTCAAATACAATCCCTCACACTAAGCATGCTTGTAGCGACAGTGGAGAGGAAAAACTCCCTTTGAACAGGAAGAAACTTCCAGCAGAACTAGGTTCAGTGTGAGCGGCCATCTGCTGAGGCCGACTGGGGTTCAAGGAGACACAAGCGGGAATACAGAAGAAGTTCTTTGGACTGTACTTTTTGCGGCACATCATAGAAAACGTTTCCTTTGTGAATTAAACCACAATCACTCTACATAAAGCTAAGTGGTCCTGTGGCATCACTGGAATTCCATAGCAGAACTTAAAGGTTACATCCGTTATCTCTTGCTTGCTCAAAAAGTACCACACAGTTTTAATTTTTCACACTGCAACCAAAATTACAAAAAGGAGTTTAAAGTGAAAATCTAACATTAAAATGTTCACCATTATTAAATGCTAGAAAAATTATATTTGACTTTTTGCCAAATGTAATAGTTTTTACAACCATAATTTCGCTTAAACTCTCACCGTCCGTTAATTCTTTCAGTGGATCTACATTAAAGCAGAATTTGTCATTAACCGAGGACAGATGGACCCTGTATTCAAGGAGAGACAGCCAGTAGGAAAGTTCAAAACATTTATTAAATAAAGAAAACTAAAGCACTCGGACACTGCAGGAGGGGGGCGGGGCACCGCCCAATCTCAGACACTCTCTGGTATAACAGTCCAGTCCAAGAATGTCCCCAAGTGCTGCAGTTCCAGAGGACATGCTGGAAGCCGATCCTGGTCAGGGATCCAGAACAGACAGGAACAGGATCCAGGTCAGGCAGGAACAGAACAGGAGGCAGGATCCAGACTTCCAGGCATCCACAGGCTCCCAGGAGGGTTCAGAGTCTGACAGGGTCCGAAAGCATGACCAGGTGGTCACGCACAGGAGCAGACAGGATCAGGTGCAGATGAACAGGCTCAGTGGAAGAGGGTAGCCGAGACAGGACGTGGAACCAGAACTTGATGCAGGACTTTAAACTGGTCTCCTCCCCGGAGCCAGGCTTTCTGGATAAAAACTGAACCTCCCCACATATAGAGCCAAAAACCCAGAGGACTCAGTGGACAATCAGGAGACGAGACAAACACTAAAACCTCTTTCCACTGGCCGCCAGGATCCAGGACATGAACCATGAAATCAAACTGAACAGACAGACTCAACGAAAACAAATAATGATCTGGCACTGAAAGCTCAGGCTGAACTAAATATAAACAGAAGAAACAGGTGAGAGGAATAAATTATAATTGAGGCAGGGAAGGAAAACGGCAGGTGAAAGAAATTACCAATTAAGGGAGAGCAAACAGATTGAATACTTTTATCGAAAAAGGTTAGAGAAATTGGCTCAGAATCAGCACTGAGGCTCTTAAAGATTGATAAAACAAGCACACAGTCCAACGTTTACTTTAGTAAAAGAAGGTTAAAGATAAGTTCAGCAGGAGCTCATGGTTATCTGTTTTACAAGCCAAGACTTAAATGAAATGTCTAACACAAACAAGATCTAATCTGTGTGGCATCACTTTCAACTCATGCAACAGATTATCATCCTTTGATGTAAACTATTATTTTCTTGGCCTGGAATTTTGTTTTGTCGCTGACTTAAGTCCTCAACTTGTACCTGTGGTTGAATGAACTAGGTTTCTGTACTCCTTGTCATCCCCGGCCGCACTTCAAGTCCCTTCAGCCTCTAAAGTCGGGCATACACACATTTTCAATCGTTGCACGTAGCTACAGCTCAAACTGTAAGACGAAACTGCAGGCTTTAAAAGTTGCTCTGATGCGACCTTACGACGGCCGACTGAATTTCAAACATGTTTGATTTTCTCCCGACCTTACTATTCCTGATCGGGGGGTGGTATTGAGAGGCTGATTTCCCCTTGTTACCCCCTCTACACTAAACAATGCACGATCAGGCTGAAAGTCGGCCCGATCGAAAAAATTCTTGCACGACTGGAGAATTGGCCCGAAAAGAGCAAAAAATCGTACAGTGTATGCCCGACTTTACAGGTTTTATTCCAAGGATGCTGCCATCTCCATGGGACAAGGTCGGGATGGAGTGTTTAGGTTGTTAGCTTTTTATTAGTGTTGCACCGATACCGATACCAGTATCGGACGGGGCCCCGATACTGCCCTAAAATGGTGCTATCGGTATCGGCGAGTACCAACAAATAGGGCACCGATACCATTTTGACAATCAAAAGTTTATTCAACTATTGTCACCCATTCCTGGTAGGCAATAAAAAGTTCTACTGGATTCACTTTGTATTAGATTTTTTCCTGCTTCACAAAGGTAGGCAGCAGCTTGACAAAGCCATGATGGCAATTATTTAACATTATTATGGTATCGGTATCGGCCGAAACTGCACAGCTAGGTATTGGGTATCGGGGCCAAAAAATGGCATCGGCGCAACACTAGTTTTTATCAACATATGTTGTTTCAAATGTAGTCTATAAAAAAACGTACTTTTGTTCCAGTCTGGCCAGAGCAGCTTATTTCATCAACCCTTCATGTCAACCCATCAACCCATCATGTCCCTTATATGGTGTCAAAATAGACAATGTCGTTCTTCTTCCTTTCTTTGAACAATTCAGCAATTTCCACATTCTTCAATTTGGGACAGTTTTCTAAAGCACAAGTTCCAGTAGAAGACCAGTCACATGATTATTGTGAGTTTTACTTCTCAAAAGTTTTTTTTTTTTTTTTTTCTCCTCCTTGGTTACGTCCTGGCAGGAATGAATGTGTATAATACTCTAATTCCAGATAAAAATCCAACTGTGCTTGGTGAACTGTTTGAGGTTCGGGATATTATGTTAGGTGACATTGTGATATTTTGTTCTATTTCAAATAACCCTTGTATGTTGAAACCTTTTTTTTTATTACCGCCTGCATTAAAGGCTTCCTGTTCTTAAGGAAAGTATGGTTCCAGTAGGCATTAGTATGCCAGGAGTCTTGAATACAGTCAAAGTGTCAATAACCCACAAGGATTCTGTTTAAATATGATACTAATACATATTAGTAGGAATAAAAAACAAATCACACAATACTTCTCTTTTCGGTGCATCTGACTGCAGTACAATAGTTAACGAGCTTTATTGATAAAAAAAAGTTCCAAGGTTTTCTATGTGACACATTGGTCAGGTTACATTTTTTCTAAATGAGTTTCCAAAGATTTTGTGATCATTTAGAAAACTTTTGAACTTTTCAGAAAAAGATGTCTGTAAGTTATAGTCAATGCCAGAGGCTATTGCTGTAAAATGTTTATCTGAAGTTTGTAAAAGGCCTCATGTTCTTAATGTCTGTCTAGTTAGACTTTTCTTTTGTATTTTCCATCGGCCCATATGTAGTTTCATGCCCTAATTTTAATTAGCGTCTCTGCCATCCCTCCTAATAGCCCTTCCCTGTAATTTTTCTCTCTCACCTTTCTCTCATTTGCTTCCCTCTCAGTCGATGTTTCCTCCCCCTCGCGGGCCTTTCTGTGATTCCATTTCGGTTGTTTAACATGCAGCTGCAGGCCGTACAAGCTCACCTGCCTCTCTTCACTTTGAACCCCGGTGCCGGTCGGCCGCCCAAATAACACAATCATCTTCTGCACTAATTAACTCACGCCCACGACAGGCTCTGTATCGCAGCTGTTCTCACTGCACAGACACACACACACACAAATACTGGCATATTCATATACACACAAATTGAAAACGGCCTTGAACAGATTGCTGATCCAAATACATTGTAGATCCTTCCACATACTGAGCAAAATGTTATTAAAAAAGACAGAAATGAAAACCTTGCCTTCAGTTTTAACTTAAAAATTGCAGATAGTAAAAAGTCAGATTGGCCAGTGCTGTATTACAATGATTTTTTTCATATTTTTAACCTGCGATTAGAGTATTGCTGTTTTCCTCCATTCCTCTTGGTATGCTTAATTGAACTATGTTAGGATAATTATCACTGATGATGTGTGACTTTATTACACCTTAACATTAGCTGCCTGTTGCGTGTCAGAACTGATGTTTTCCCCAGTAGTTTATTTAATTAGGCTAGTTCCTCGGTCCGGCTATATACAGTTATAATCTTGCTTGTGGCAAATATTTGGGAATGGAATGAGAGCGGTGTCCTGCAGCTAAGAACAAAGTGTTATATTTTGATAAGGCTGGAGCCAAGGATGTCTCCTCATCTGCAAACGTGTATGATGTAAAATGTGATGATGTGGCAGACTGGAGTTGTATAAAATGCTTCTTTAAATGTTAATCGGGACCACTTTAATGATAAGTGAGTCCGGTTGGTAAGCAGCTGCCTTCTGTAACTCTAACTCGTGGTCACGGTTTTCGGTTCAGTTCGGTATATGTTGATTGTTAGCCTGACATGTTGGTCATGTTGCTGTTAGCATAAACAAAACGTGTTGCACAATGCTTGCACACTGTTGCACTTTTATCCACATCTTTCTGTCCGCCGTCATCGTAGG